CCAGCCCAGCCCAGCCCAGACCAGCCCAGCCCAGCCCAGCCCAGCCCAGCCCAGCCCAGCCCAGCCCAGCCCAGCCCAGCCTAGCCCAGCCCACCAGCCCAGCCCAGCCCAGCCCAGCCCAGCCCAGCCCAGCCCAGACCAGCCAACCCAGCGCAGCCGAGCCCAGCCCAGCCCTGCCTGGGCCCAGCTCGGCCCAGCTCTCCCTCCCTGCTCTCCTTCTTTGCCTCCCTCCCTCCTTGCCTTTCCCCCTCCCTCTCCGCCCCCCCTCCCTCCCCCTCCCGCCCTTTCTCCCTCCCTCCCTTCCTCCCTCCCTCCCTCCCTCTCTCTCCCCGTTCCTGCCTCCCTGCCTCCCTCCCTCCAGTAGTAGTAGTCGTAGTAGTAGTAGTAATGATAGTAGTAGTAGTAGTAGTAGTAGTAGTAGTAGTACTACTACTAGTAGTACTAGTACTAGTACTAGTACTAGTAGTAGTAGTAGTAGTAGTAGTAGTAGCAGTAGCAGTAGTAGCAGGAGTAGTAGTAGTAGCAGGAGGAGTAGTAGTAGTAGTAGTAGTAGTAGTAGTAGTAGTGGCAATGAACACTAATACACGTACTGGCACTAATACCGCAACAACAAATTACTGAAAACAAACCTGCAAGCCGCACCTGCACCACCACGTCCAGGATGTCCCCCAACCACCTGTCCAGGGCTCGAAATGCGTTGTGGACAGCAGGTGCGGCATCTCGTTGTGCAAGCGTTTGAGTTGGGCTCATGCAACGCTCGGGCAGATCTGAACTCGGGAGAGGCAGAGGTGCTCTTCTTAATCAAGACTTCAGGGGCGAACGCGCTTGTCCACATGCAGGGTTCTCTAAATCAGGGTCCTTTTTCTGTGCTCTTGTACGTGTTAACGTGTTGATGATATGAATGCCAACTGCAGTGCCAGGAAGCTGACTGAAGTCCCGAAAGTAGGATCTCTTTGTTCTGCATCCGAAGAAGCTAACTTACAAACTTACCTGTGTGATTCATGATTCCGGCTTTCGTGCGTTGCGAACTCCTGTCGGTATCCTGCTGTCAACCGCAGACCGGCCTTGTCTGCGCAAAGTCTTGACGCTGAAGTCCAGGTTCGCCGCCAAGTTTTTCCCGTGTCCAGATTTTTTGCTTCGTGACGTTTCTGCTTCCAGGTGCCAGCTTGCAGGGGCATAGAACTCTCGCGAAAGCCAGCAGGCCGGCCGAATACTCAAGAATGAAGAGCGGGTGTTCTTCCGGTTTCGGAGCCTGGAAAGAAGCTGAAGCTCGGAGACCTCCACATATTCCACATCCATCCTCACGACCGTGTGCCGATCCGCCAAAGCTTCCTTAAGCGAGATTGCAGGCACCAGCCGAATCGCAAGAGGCATCAGCACAACATTTGACAGTTGAGCGCTGGTCCTTCGAAGTCTGCAAAAAAAGGGAACGCCTGTGCCTTGAGTTCTTGGAGCCAGCTGGTGAAAGACATGTCGGCGGGCTTTGTGAAGGGACGTGCCGTGGAGTTCCGCCAGGTTGGCCCGAAAAAGCTCCTGAGAGGCGTCTTGAACTCTGAGTCTTCCGGCCTCCTCCCCAAACCCGAATCCTCGATCAACTGGAGACCATGCCAAAAGGTACCTGACATCTGATCGGAGATCTCACAATAAAGAGGTGCTTGTGGCTTTCTAGCAGAAGAGACATAGCTTTAAGACTCAGCAGTTTTCGCCAGGACTATATGCAGCGTCGCAACCGTTCTTGTCCTCGTCTTCTTGACTTGTGTCGGCGACCCAAGCAAGGAACACGAGTTCGTAAAGTCAAAGTCAGCGATTTTCCAACAAAAGGTCTTGTCCTCATCAGCTGTACCTGAACACTCAACTCATTGCCCGGACGGGTCACGTGCTCATGTTTCTGCCTGACAAAAGCCGAACAAGAAGTCGGGTCGCGACAGGGCAACTGGCTTCTAAAGTGCACGGAAGTTCATAAGAACAGCTTTGTTTGTGTGGTCTACAATACACTCACTTTATGTAGACTGGACCTGCACCCGAAACTCAACACTATGTCGACGGAAAATGCAAAGAGAGCGAGATGGATGAGAGATCGGCTGCAGTTCTGGGGATAGCAGGACCTTTGCTCGGTATTCGGAAGTTTCAAAAACGTGAATATAGATGCGAAGATACTCAGTGGGATCGCCAAAAGAACGACACCCAAAAGAGAACGACCCCTAACTCTCGAAAGCAAACCCATGACACATTGCAGATGCTGAAGTTAAGACGAATGGCCGCCCTGCTCAGACATCCGCGGTTCCACTCGTGCGTGCTTCCGTCCGCTGGTGTCCTTTCACGGCTCAAGGGCCCAAGGATGTCTGGTTTCAGGAGTGGTGGTTGAGATGTCGAACCTAGTATACAAGTCATGTCTTGGCATCTAAGGTCAAGGCATATCATGCAATTCCTTAACGCCTTTGTCATTTGGCTTGCTAGGGAGCTCATAGCGCACGACTCCACCGTTCCGGCCCTGATTGACTCGACATGTTCAGACGCACAGGCAATCTGGAATGGTCAGACTGGTACGGTACTGAATGGCAACGGTGATCATGCTCTGTCAGCCCAGTATCACACAGTGACAAATGACAGCTAGTCGCTGATAATGCGGAGTCCTCTCCCAAGCAGAAGCAGAGGCTCTGCGAGGTTCCGTGATGTGGCCCGGGACCCAGTCAGAACTTTGCTCGCCGGTGCCCAAGGCGCTCCCCCAGGCCCAGCGCTTCCTAAGGTTGATGGCCTTGGTCCTTCCACTCCGCGGGTCTTCCCCGATGTCAAAGGCCACTTCGGCCCCATCAGTCATGTCTTCCCTGCAGAGCCAGCGCAGCCCGGAGAAGTGCACAAACACATCTCGCTCGTCAGACTCGCTGTGGACAAAACAGTAGCCCTTATCACTAAAGAGCCTCTTCAAGATCCCGGTGTGTGCCATGGCTTGGCCGTGGCATCCCGAGCCCCCGGGCCTCAAAGCCGCAAGCCTTCGGCAATGCAGAAATGCAAGAATGATGCCCATCCGACTGGTAAGACTGCTTTACAGTGCGAGCAGGTCGAATCAAACAAACGTGGTTACACTCTACAATGTCCTGGCGCTTGTTGATCGTCACTATTTGGGGTTCAATCTTGGTAATTCGTCCAGCCTGTCCCTACTAAGCCTCTCACCTAGCTGTGAGTTCAAGGACCCTAATCCCCTAACCAACCATCTTGCGGCGATGCATGCTCCAGAAGGCTCTAGCATCTTTCCCATGTCCACTTCCCACAGCCTTCATGTCATGTGCCCGCACATCTTCTTGCAGTTGGGGTTCCCGGGGGCTTCTGAACCGTGGGCTGTCGAATCTCTTCAGAGGGCGGTGAGTGAAGACATTCCTCCAGCTGAGTATGTTTGCCCTGAGTATGTTTGCCCTGGTCTCCCGAAAACAAAGATACAAGAAATGGATATATATATATATATATATATATATATATTTAACAGCCAAATGACTTTGTCATGTGGTGCCTTGATGGGCCTTAAAAAACTGATGAGGGTAGTGAAGTGCGATAGTTCTTCTCACTAAGATTTATGTGCCCAGCCCTGACTCGGGTCAGGATCTTTTTCGGCAGGGTGTCCGGTGTGGCTGATCTCACTCTCAGGCATCATCGCACTCTCCTCAGCCCCGGACAGTAGGAGCAGTTTGCCCAATTCGGTGAAAAGGTCTTTCATCATGTTGGGGATTTGCTTCGCTATGCCTTTGGTAGCAAGTCCTGCCCTGTTCTGAGAAATCGAGGACCTTCCCTGCTTGCGAATAGTACGGAACGTCAGCCCGAAGAGGGAAGCATCGTCTGAAACAACTTGGGGCTTTGAAATCAACGGTCCTGTGTTTGGGGCTTTCGCAATCAGGATCCTACTGTTTTACGATCTATATTAGGGTCCTTTGGTTCTCTCTTAAACTCAATTTTGTCATTTGCGCTGATGTTGCCGAGGTGGCAAAGACTTGGAACGAGTCCTCTCCTGCTCGAGCTGATCCTGGTCGTCTTCATGGCTTGAAGACTCGTAATCTGGGGAAATGCTCGCCGTGGCAACAGTGGTGCCTGTTTGGTTTCCTCTAAATGGGCAAAGATACTCAAGTCGACATCTTGTTCATACTTTCAGCTTATCTTTCATGTCTTTCGAGTTGCACACTCGCGAAGCAGGCGCGGATGCAGGCGAGTCTCAGCTCGGGCTTGCTACCGGAACATGTGCTGTCGAATATCAGTCACCCCGGAACAACAGCCCGGAATAACCGATAACCCGTGTTTGCATGTCTGTTCCCAGGAGTTGTTGCAAAGAATTGGGATGTGCCCGTCCTGCATGTGCTGGAAGCTGTGTGCGACGTTCTGTTTTCAGTACTATGCGATGAAGCTTCCATGTCTTTAGGGTGAAGAGGATTGAAAAGGGGGAGGTTTGAGACATGTACATAGGGTCAGGCGCTCTGTCCCCCGGAGCGGGCCGGGAACGCCCGATGCCTGACCACATAGAGGCCTAGTTTTTGCCTCCTGCATTGCTGAGCAAATCACTGACCTAGTAAGTAATTTTCACTCGGATTCGGGCCTCTTTCGGAACTAGCAGGGACAGCACAAACATGTTGCGTGTTAAGTACGAACATGTTACATGTTGCTTCATGTTCCTCGGGGGCTTTGGATGGCTTCGCAAAAGTTGTTTATTGAGGGCCAGCCGGAATCACTTAAAAGCAAGCGCAGCTTCATGGCAGGTGTTCGGTGTTCGGGAGGAACGGCGGACCGAGACAGGCGAAGCCATGAATGTCGAGGAAGATTGGTCGTACAATCGTAAACCGATATCCAGTTTCCTCACGAGTGCGCTTGGCGGCAGCTTGGTTCTCCGCAGCCGGAACCTGGGCACAGGTTCAGCTCGTAGGTGAAAGACCGTCTTGCTAGATCCCAATGTAAATTTAAACATTTGGCGGTGCGGGATGCATTGTTGTACGGTTCAAAGCCCAAACCATTGGCGGAGACGATAAAGGGTATTTTAATTTTCAGGTTCAGGCTACAGGGCTCAAGCGCGTTGAGTGCTTTGGCTCTGTAGCTTTAGAGTTTGAATGTGTCAAATCTCAGCCAGACCGTGTGGCTTGTCTATTGCGGGTATACAGGTTTGGATACTGCAGGAGACTGGATCTAACAACGGAAATTTCAAGCAGGATTCATTGTGTTCAGGGCCCTGGCGGTGGGATGAAAATGCCTTTGAAAGGTCGGCTTAGTCTGCACATCTATCCCAACCTGCTCCGGAAACATGTTTGAAAAACACGCAGGCTAGCATCAACCCTGCATCTGGGGACCCAGCGTCTTCTGGCAACAAAGAGGCCAAAGGCTCTTCAACCATTCGACGGATGACGTCTCCTCCAGGTTCGGGATGCTAGCCGGCTCTGGGTTTCACATGGTTTTGAGCTGTGACGGCTTCTTGGCTGCTTCCTGTTGAGGATCCTGGAGCTCTCGCTCCGCCATATCACAAGGAAGGAACACCGATCGTGTATAGCAGATAACATTGTAAAGCGCCAGGAGTGAGACTTGAAACATCTGCAATGCTCGCCACCAACCCCAGAAACCTCAAATTTCAGGATAAGCTGAACCCTGTTCACAAACAAATCGGTGGTCCTTTCGTCTTTCGGCTCTCACACTCGAACAATGCAGGCGAGGCTTGTGTTCGTAAGTCAGCTGTGGTGAGACTGGCGGGCAAGACAGGACATTTTCCTCTTTAAGTGCGGCGCAAAAATACATTATGCTCCGAAGGACCGCCTCGTAATTTGAAAATAGCAAAGAGGAAAAACCCTGCACATAACTTTCGTCATGAGAACAGTCCTCCTAAGAACTAGCTAGTCGCGGCCTTCGAACAGCAAAGCTAACAACATGCATCCATGCAGATCTGACCATAATAAACAACGCTTCACTGACATAACTCTGCATCAGCCCGCTGTGCCAACCATCGTCATCATCATCATCATCATCATCATCATCATCGTCATCATCATCATCATCACCCATCATCATCATCGTCACCATCACCATCACCGTCACCATCATCATCACCATCATCATCATCGTCATCATCGTCATCACCATCGTCATCGTCATCATCGTCATCATCATCGTCATCACCATCGTCATCGTCATCATCGTCATCACCAACACCATCGGCATCACCAGCATGTCCATTACCGACATTCATCACGACCAGGATCATGTCATCATCGCAGCAGGAGACAGCGAAGGACAGGAACATCCCAAGACCCTCGCCAATCTCAGCAGACCCTTCGCTCCAACACTGTGCGCGAAGTTGGTGGCCCAGTCCCAACCCCAAGCTGCGTCGTAGTGGAAAATCCGGAAATCCCAATTGTCCTCGGCAGTTCTGTGGCAGTCAAGGGTTCAAGTTTCCGGGGGAGGGCCTAGCAGGAAAATCGAGAGCTTCTCGCCCGCCTTTTCACAAATGCTGTTGGGGGCTACCACAGTTCTACGTATTCCACGGCTTGACGTCGGCATGACAAGAATGACCTTTCAAGTTCCAGATCACGCTCACATCTCGCCCTGTCTTTGCACCCCAAACAACGCATGAGCCACCTGCAGCCAAGGTGCAAGCTTGAGCTGATCTATCCTAGGTAGCTGCCGCTGTCGGTTTCAGGGTTGACTTCCTATGAGACCTTGACATCTGAGAGTTACCGGAAGCAGTCTTTCCTGGAACTCACAAGGAGAGCAGAACTCAACAGCTGCTGCAGGCTACGGACAAGGGCACGGGAGCAGCTAAGCAGCAACTAAAGACCCTCTGAAGTCAGAAACGGTTCTTTTTCTTGACCTTCTCATGCTGCCTTGAAGCGCACATGGTAGAGTTTTTAAGGTTGGCCGTCTACGACTACCGTTGTCATGTTTGTTCTTCGTCTTGGTTTTTTGTATTGGTGTGAGTGTGAACACTCCAAACTATATTTGCTACTAATTCATCTTCTACTTCGCCCACAAATCCACGGTGACGGATGTGAAGAAGCCTTGCTGCAAGCCAACTTCTGCACAGGCCTCAAGGTGCACATCCAAAAGAGTAGAAACACCAGTGGCAAGTTCGAGGGCTGCTCATTCTTCGTGTGAGCAACTCGAAGTTTGGGTGCTAAAGCTGTAGTGCATTAATAATTACCATGAGGTCAAATCCCCCACGTTCATCCGGCCTTCTGCCAGATCAACTTCGTGAAGCTGAGCTTGTGAATCTACAACCGCTCTATGCGTTTTTCATCTTTTTTCCCGCGGGTCATCGCCCAAAAAAATTGCAAGATGGGCACTAGTACCAGCAGGGACTGCCCTCGTGCACTTGTGAACTGATCCGGTGAATCTCCCATGGCACCCGGCTACATGCTGGTAGAGCTTGCGTAAGTTCTTGATCTTGTAGGAACGTGTACATGTTCATGCAGGTAAAGGTCTGGAAGACGTGCTCCAATGTGCTCCATGGAACTCTTGACGAGGCCGGCCTGCAGGCCGACCTGTCGGATGACCGTTAAGGATTCCGTGGCTTCGACAACGTCCCAAGATGGCAAACATCACGACGGGCAGCAGTTTGCCAACCAGCATCAAGCTTCGACAGGCAGCACTTCGTACTAGTAGAAGGGTTGCGTGCCATCAAGGCGTGGTGTGATTTGCATGCAGCTGATATCAATGCAGCCCAGGGCATGGACCCCAGCTTCTTGATGCTCTTGCCGCCTGCAACGCTAGCCTCAGAAAACTTGTGGCTGCATGCCTGCATCCGATGTGCTGCGCTGCATTCTGTCCAGTCTGTCAGGAACGCTCATGGATCCTTAAGTCCTTAGTGACCAAGCCATCAAGGCGAACATCCTCGCCAGTGTGTCCTCCAGCACGGCACACGAAGAGGGCCTGCGCAGCTCCATAGAGCAGCAGGCCTTTCAGGTACGTATTCGGCGCTATTCATTATCTGCACCCATGGCCCAGTGATGGTGAAGGCAAAGTGGCGCAAGAGACTTGCACCAAGCCTCATCCACCTGCTGACCGCGTGGGTCAAAACCCACGTTCTCTGCGTTGTCAAGTTGCCGCCAGAGTCTGTGGAGCACTGTGATGTCTAGTCGACGTCTCATCAAACAGCTGGGACAGGACACTTCCTCCTGTGTGGTGCAAGATTTGCTGCGATGGCTCAAAGCCATCATCACTTGCGCCTGCAGGTGCGGAATGCCTCTGCGCTGTTTCAGATAAGTCTTCAGGTGGATGCCAGCACTTTGCAGGACATGGATGGACTTGGCTTCGAGCCCACAAAGATCTTGGGCGGACATCTGGCCCTCTTCCATGCCCGCTGCCGAGCCCAGACGAGCCCGGCTTGAGCCCAGCCGAGTCGCCCCAGGCATCGCCGAGTCGAGAGGCTCCGGCTACAGTATACTGTGCACTTTTGAAAACCCCTGGCTCCAGGACGATATCTTCAGGACTACGACTTTCTGTCGAGTCTTAAGTTCTGGGCAAATTGGAGATCGCGTGGCCAACCACTATCCAGAATGCAACTTTCTCCACAACTGACCGCAGCATCACTCTTCTCTATGAATCTATAACGCCCCTCACGCTCAGAATGGACCCTTTAACCAAGGCTGACTCGGCACACCACCAACTTACAAGTTCAGAACTTGCGCTCAGGGACCGGATGTTCAAGTGCGAGTAGGCAGATCCTTTCCAGTTTCTTGGCGGGAAAGCCTCGGTCACGGCCAGGGGGAACCGAAGTGTGAAGATCTGGGCCCGCTCAGAGGTTCCAGCAGACTGACTTCTCGAAATGTGCTTCGATTACCGGGGTTGTTTCATCACACATGTGAGCGATCAGTGGTACTTAAACAACTCTCTTTGGATGTTCTACAATAATGCTTTTACATGTTCTATTCTTCGGTCTCCCAACACAAGCATTTTTGGGTACCTGGGATTGAACCGAAGCTTCATGAATCCGCATTCGCTGAATACTCGAACCGCTGTCTCTAAGCCTTTCCCCACATCTGCACAATTCGATGCACACCTGAAGCCCTGCACGCCAACCAAGCCCCGTGTTTGAGGTATCGCAAAGCCCCTCCCCACCTCCTTGCACACATGGCGGAAGCCAGGAGGAAGGCTCTCCTGAGCAGTACAGGCGTGGACTTAGGGACCAGGCCGCGGATCAAGTTTGTGGGGCTTACAGAACTCTTTCAGAAACAAGGGGTTCCGAAAAACTTGGATGCTCACTGTGAAGCTTCACCCAATTTCTGAGGCTTTGAGTTCGGGTTAGGATGGTTAGGCTTACGGAAGCGTTCAACAAAGGATTCGGAGACTTGGCGCTTTCAAATCCTAAACCCTATTCAGAGATGAGGGCTGGGCAAACCTCCAAAGCGCTGCCTGGGGATTCGCCACAATCGCGCTTGAATCAGAGCCAGCTAGGGTATAGGACATTCCCGAGTGCGGACCACCTCCACCCGTCGGGCATGACAGCGCGCATGCACTCGGGCTTTGCACGCAGCCCAGGGCCCAGATCTGGAACATGTAGAATGCGGCGGAACGAGAGAGAGCGAGAGAGAGATAGAGAGCGAGCGAGCGAGAGCCAGAAACATCAAGCAAAGGGAAGCGGGAGTCGGAGAGAAAGAATCAATGAATCAATGAATGACTTGGGGACGGGAGGGCCAGGGAGGCAAGGGGCCAAAGGGAGCGAGAATCCAGACGTTAGTTTGGAGGTGATCTAAATCAACGATTGCCGAGTGGCAGCCATTGCGGAAACGATGTTCACCTTGAGTCTTGATCCCTCAGCCCCGTTAGTCACCACGGTAGTCTCAAAGCTGACTATCAGTGGATCTCCTGGCTCTGAGATTTCCGGATGAGAGCTCTGAACGAAGTCGGGGCTTTGACGTGACATGGGGCTATCGAAGTGCTTGGCCTGCGCGTGCACAGTCTTGTCAGAATGAGACTCCCAGAAGGACAACCTAAACTCTTAGCCCTACCTGCTTCAATCCTGTGGTCGCTGCAGCGCTTCACGTTTGAATGTGCTGGGATGTGGAAGACAAGGTAGCACCGCTGCCCCAAGAGCCGTGATGAAGGTTGTATCGCATGCAGGTGCTGTAGGGATTGCACCCTCATCCTGGAAGCGAGGGAGGCGAATCGTTTGAATCTAAAGTGAGCCCACTGAACTTGAACATTCTTAGCTCGGAAAAGATATGAACAACTTGTCGCACGGGCCAAGACCCTGACAAACCGCCTGAGTTTAGTCTATAGAAGAAGTATATCTCAACGAATGATAACACACCCTAATGACGAACGGCTGAATCTGCCCGGCCAAGGCTGAGACTAAGACTCAGAGCTCGATATTTTGGACTGAGGCCCTCAGCTTGTCTATTTCATCCTTCGAGGGGCAGCCCCTTTTGTTGCAGCGAAGGGGCGTAGACGCAAAGACCAAACTCCTGATCTGACGAAAAGTTCATGGCTCTCCAACTGCGGTCCCTTGAGTCAAGGCCCGGCAGTCGTCTACAGCTCTTCGTAATTCCATAGAAGAAATGAAAATGCCATGCGAGGGTTTGTGTCCTGGACGCCACACCATCCCAGCCAAGCCCTTAAGCTAAGCCTGTCTGAGACGTGAAGGCGTTGGCCAAACCCTTCTCCCCTGCCCAGGCTAGGCGCAACCAACGCTCAATCCTTTTTGAGATTGAACTCTGGATTTTGAAGGGTTCGCGGCTTAACTGCATCCCAGTTCATCTCAGAGCAATAGAGCGCCCCATCCCCTGAACCGCCTGAAAGCCCCAAGACTACATTGTGGACCGAGCATCGAAAGGTTCGGGAGCCCTCCATGTCCGCCCCACACGCACGCTGTGGATGCGATGGTGGACCTCAAGTACCGGTCGTGCGTCTTGTTCTTGTGCTTCTGTATATGTGCTGCAGCCCAAACTCTCTTATGTTCTCAAGTAGTTGAGGCGATTCGGGATCCCGTTCTTGAAGAGATTCAGGCTGTGGGCGTTGGAGGTTAAGGGGTATTGGAGGGGGAACGAATTTGGCCAGATCAGCAGCATCTACATAGATGGACTTAGATCTCTCCATGATTGGTTGAAAAACTGTGGATCTGCATCATCACACGACCATCATCAAGCCGCCATCTGATAGCACTGTGGTAGTCTAAACAAAATGACCACACCACCACCACCACCACCCGCAGGCCACTACCAAGATCCACAATGAGGAATCACAGTAGTTTAATGGGAGTCCCAAGCCAAGCTTCGTCCAGAATCGTTGCAGACTCTACGTCCCCGACATCCTGGCATTGACAGCAGTTGTTTACTTGCAGGATTTTGGGACGAAGGCCAGTGAGCTGCGGGGATGCAACACGTTTTGTATGCGATCCACGGTTGAGGCTTGTGTCTTTGCTTTCAGCAGTCCTGTTTGGTTTCTCCGCGAGGAGGGAAGCACTTTAGGCATTTCTGGGCGCATGAGCATCATCCTGATCATGGCTATGTAGCTATACGGCCACAGCAAATAAGGACGATACTGAATATCATCTGTTCAGGCATCCGTGGCTAGTACCGTGCTTGGCAGTCTTGGATTTTCACTCTCTTTCCCACCTGCCTAGCTCGAGCTCTTCTTGCATAGAAGCTGGGTTCCGAGCGTGGCTTCACGACAATTGCATCAATTATTGCGCCCCGCGCCCCTGTACGCGGATTCGAAGTGGTAATCCGAAGTATGCGTATGCCTTCTGTAAATGATAGTTTTGCCAAGACTCCCGTAAATGTGCCGTGGTACATGTAGCGACTCCAGCTGTTTACATTCCATTCATCCTCTCAGCGATGCTTCCTGCCTGGGTAACAGCCATGATTGATCATCTGGTTGTGGATTGTCATCATCGTCACTTTTTGCAACATCGATGCCTCTCTCTGTCTCGCTGGAACCTGCATCCCTACAAGCTTTCTTCAGCTTCTGCTGCTGTTCTTGTTGCCATGACAACATGTTTCGCCACGTATACGAGTCTACGATTCTGACTGTGCTTCAGTGATCTCTGCAGGGCTTGGGGTCTGAGGGATTCTTCAATCCGAACTTTCGCTTGAACCGACACGGGCTTTGGACTCCAGGGGTTAACGCCTTGAGCGTTGTCTCCGAAAATCCCCAGGTGCAGGACTTTCTCAGGCCCGGGCGATGGTGATGACCTTGGGTAGGCCCTTTGGGGACCGTGTGTCCCCAGACCCTTCCGAAGCTGCATGCCCAATGCGATCTAAGCTGTGTGCGGTTTCGGAAGCCTTTGGTAAACTTTTGGCCCAAGACGGCAGTTATTTGGGCTTTAGGGAAATCGTTGTGTTGATGCCTGCAAATGAGGGTTTAGAGCTTTTGGCAGCTTGAAGTGTAAGGGCTACAAGTAGCGTCCGGGAGTGTTTCCAGAAATGGTCCCTGATGGGGTTCCCATACGGACTGCGGAACTCGGAAGGCGCTGAAGGATCAGGGTTTTGCGTGCAACAGCGAGTTCAATGCACATGTTGTTATGATTATGAGGGCAAGATACAGGAGAAGCAGTACTATCACCAAGTCCCCCATATCACCTCACACGCTCCTGGTGCGAAGCTTCGGGTAGTAGCCGAAGGGTCCAATGCAACGGGCTGTGCATTTGACTGACGGAGGTTACTCGAGAGCTGGGCATCGAAGCTTGCAGTCGCAAAGCTCGGAAAACAAATGTACAGATCAGTAGAATGGGATGTCTGGGACCCTCGGCCCCGACCCTCGGCCGGAAAAAACATGCGCAAAACTTAACCGTTGTTGGGCCAAATTCGCGGACTGTCCGCAATGCCTGAGCAGAGTTCTAGGCGCAAGGTACTAGGAAGATGGGCACGACAACAAGCATCTGCAATGACTGAAGCTCTTACAAGTATACAGTAGATGTGTGAAAGGCTCTGGCAACAAATAACTTGGGCTCAAACTTGCGAACCAAGGCGCTCGTGCCTCTGACAAGAATCCGACCATCCGCCCCTGACCTGGAGTTTGCTTTCGGGCCTGGGGCTCTTTCAAAGCTTTTCGCCGTTTTGACACGTTCAGGTCTTCCTGCAAACTTCGGAGACCCGGTCCTGAGACAGGTCCAGCCGATTCTGACAAGGACTTTGGCAGTGTCCGACTTGGATGATCTTGAAACCACCAAGATCCCATGTACAGCACCCACATGCACCCACCACAGTTTCAAGCACGCGGGGGAGCCAACAACTGCGCAGATATAGACGTCTTCGTCTGGAGGCGAGTTTTCTTGTGGTTTGAATGCAGGTGCTTCCGCGACTTGAACAAGATCCTGATGTCAGGACCGCCACCCATATAGATCAGATCACGCCAGCAAACCACGCACACCGATGTATGCCGGGCAGCCCTCCCCGTCGCGGCAAGAAGCCTGGTGCCCATGTTCTTGAATGTGAGGGATGCAGGCTTTACAATTGCTGTATCGAGGCTCGATGCTTTGACCCCTCTCTCGAGCCTGCGAACCTTGAAGCCCAGACCAAGCCCTCAACTCTAGACTTCAAGCCGCAAGCCTTCAGCCTCAAACCTTTTGCAACTGGACTGCGGTTCAGACTGCCGGCAAGACGAGGCGTAGCCTCGAACCTCAACCCCTGACGAAAACTCTTCTGCACCTGGTGTGCTTTCGACTTTGCTTCAAGCGCCGTTCCGGAATGCTGGTCCGGCAGTTATGCCCAACCGAACCATGTAAGCATGGTCTGAGCTCTCGGCCTTACTGCTGGTGGAAAGTCTGTGCCCACGATGAACCCAAAAGCCGGAAGCCCAATACTGCTGTAGAAGAAGCAAGAAAGTTGCAAAGTTATTCTCCCAGCCCCAAAAATCTCGGAAAGAAGGAAGGCCAACATGAATCATCACAGTTTATACTCCGACTCTTTGGCTTCCACTCCAAGCTCCAAAACAGCCGCCAACACCTCCCAAAGTTGGAGCCACTATCCGGAGGCTGCCTTGACAACAAGCATCATCCGGGGCTCGTGAGGGAAGAGGCGCAACCTAGGCAAGTTGTGCTGCTGCATGGGGCTTTGCATTCCCGGCTTTTTCTGTTGAGCCCTCAGCCCCAAATCCTAAAACCCACGTCCTAAAGTATGAACCAACAACTTGCTACTCAACTGCGTCAATGAGCATCGCGAACTCCCTGCACTCCTCGCGATGTAGCCTGGGTCTTTTATCGGCCGCGGCCGCGAGAATTCCTGAGAACCCTGGCAAACATCAAGAGAATTCAGGTGCGTCGGGACACACACCGACTCTGCAGGAGCGATGGGCGGGAGAAAAAATGGAGCACAGGCTTGAGCTGACGTCGGGAAGAGATGCACGCCAAAGAATCACGCATGCACCATTTTCTGCCACTCCAAAACATACAGGCATTTCGGAATCTCACAACTGCTCCTTCTCCTTCGCCTCCTCCTCCTCCTCCTCCTCCTATTGGTTGGCCGACCGAACAACCGCCGCTACTGCTACTGCGACTACTGCGACTACTGCTACTACTGCTACTACTACGACTACTACCACCACCACTACTACTACTACTACTACTACTACTACTACTCCTACTCCTACTCCTACTCCTACTCCTACTCTTACGGCTACTGCTACTAGTGCTACTAGTGCTACTACCCACCTGTCTTTGCTCACCCTGGGCACCGGTCATTGGTAGTTCTCAGGACAGACGCTTGTCACAGAAACCGGGAGCCGCAACCGTAGTCATACGCATCTTCCTTGGGAGTTTCAGGGAATAGCCGACCCTGATATAGACCCCACATATCTCAATCCTCAAATCAACCAAAACTTGAGACATCAAGGACCCTTAGGCCTTGATTATGCTCGCACAATTCGGACAAACCAGGCGAGGTTCCACATGTGCATTAATTAGGTGATTCGATCCCAACTTCAGTCACTCTTGGCTGCCAACATTGCACACATGATGGCGGTCAGCCATGCGAGGTCGACACTGCAGCCGTACCTAGCCATGTTGTTGGTAGGATTTAGGGCTCTAGGATTGGGGGGTTGCGGGTCAAGGGGATCTAGGTTTAGATCCGTATCACGAACTTTTTGCGCGGGGACGGGTTGTTTCTCGAGATTCATTGGGTCGAGGTTGTGGATCCTGCGAACAAGGACTCGAGCAGTTGTCGCCACCAGCGGCTTAGTGCAGCCAAACATGCACAACTTTGAGGACCAAAGGCATAATGGCGTGAGATAATCTTATCAACTACTGTGTTTGATTCAACTTGATCCTTACCTTACTGTCATGACATCCAGAAACCAAGCAGTATTAATCCCTTCCCCCTATCATTAAACCTCTCCCAATAAAAAAACATCCCGGCCCCGGGATTTCGCAGTTTCGGGCCCGCAACTCAAAAAATGAAGTAAAGACATAAGGTGGGCCCAGGATAGTATTGGTTTCAATAGAGCCAAGACTACAGTAGTACTAAACCGAAAGGACCAGAGCTTTAGGGTTTGGGGGCCTAAGGCTCGGAGCTTAAGGTCAAACGAGGCAGGCTGACTGTCTGCTCTACAGCCGGAACGGCTGGGTAGGAAACGGTTGTTGTTTAATTACTTACTTGTCTGACTGTCTGGTTCATTAATGAAATATTCCTGACAACCCCACTTACACCCGGATGTGCCGAAACCCCCCTAATATAAAAACCAAACCCCTGGATTCCAGTTCTTATATTAGGGGGGTCCAGTTCATAGTTTTCCCACCCGCTTCGCTGACCAAGTCGCGCTGCAGAGAAACTGCGCTCCAATATTATATTAGGGGGAAAGGATTAGAAATAATTCGACGATCTCCCCAGAAGTCCTGCAACCCACAGAAAACGGCCGTGGCACACTCCCTGCGCAGCGTTTCGGAGGCTCCGTGTCACGATGGGCTCAAAGAAAATCCGCCGGGACCTTGTGGTCAGGGTTTTTGTTCTTGCTAACGAAATTGCGCTGCTAGCAACACGGTAGAAGAGCTTCGGGCTGCGGGCTGTGGGTTTGCGGCACGGAATTGCACAGGGTTTACACTCTCACAACTTGGACAATGCAGGCGAGCGAAGTCGGCGTGAGACATTGCGAGGCTATGTCAAGCTTCTCTCCAAGAAGGGGCCTGAACAAGCAGAATCGGGTTTTGCTGAAGAGTAAATTTCAATTTCAGGTTGTAGGGCTGCGGGTTGAGAGTCCAACTGGTGTCAGGCCCGAAACGGCGGGAACCTCCTCTAAATAGCAAAAGATCGATGTTCCTTCGTGTCCAGGGTTTTCGGTGAAACAAGTGGTGGGCCGGCAACACTTGCAGCGAAGAACACAGTCATGGGCTGAGCATGTAAACGGCCGGCGTAACCTACTCAACCACAGCTGATGGTGTTTGTCTTCCACTCTCGCGCTGCATGCAGGCACGACTGTACTGGTTCGACTGTACTGGTTGGTACATGGGCAGTCCCGACGATTGGATTGAAAACTTCCGCCAACATGAACTTATCAGTCTGCCCTTCTTCGCTGCAGCGGTCGGCGTCCGAACTCATCAGGATAAGTTCCTGACTGGTCCACGAACTCAGCACGCAAAGCTGACAGAGACCGACGATCGCGCCGTGCGTCGTGCCAGTGATGAGAACTTTGTGTGAAGCTCGCGGGACTTCGATCGTCGCCTTTTGCGTCGACGTCTGTGCTGGGCGAAGGGTCTGGTCACCTCGCGAGAAGGGTCCCAATTCTCAGGGCGCTCCTCTCCACCATATGGGGGCGAGATGGGCTGGATGATAATGCCGGTGATCGACTGCCTTACTTGCGACTTTGCCACGGGCTTGCATCACTTTCGATGGGTCGTAGCGTACCTCGACTATCACGGAGTGGAACATTCCATCACCGTCGAACACTTGGTGAGGCCTGGCAGTTTCTAGCGAGCGCATTGAGCTCTCAACAGAACCTGGTATTGGATCAATAAAAGCCAAGAAGTCTGTACAAACATGCGGCTCGAAACAACAGCACCACGTCAACTATGATGGGGTAACCTCGCGTATGACCTGGACAGGCTGAAAGCCTTGGTGTGCCATCATCTGGAACTGAAAAGGATCCAGCTTTTGAAGAGCCGGTTGCTTGACAATTTGGAGATAGGTGTCATCATTGTCGGGACCAAACATGGCTCGTATTCGTCAGCAGAGGTGTCCAGCAACCGGTGAGATTGGGGGAGACCCACCCTCCTTGTCAAAACCGTCCTGGGCCTTAGGTTGTCGGAATGAAATACCACCTGGTTTGATGATCTCAGGATGTGACCAACGTGTCTTAATTTCGCCTTTCTTCATGTGTCACCGAAGCGCTGAAAGTTACAGTAGTAGATCTGGCGTATTTCCTGGTACTGTATAGCCATTGCTTCGTTTGCTCTCTGTCTAGGAAATGTCGGAGACTTTCCTAGGATGCGTCTCAGGCTTCTGTGTTGAAAAGCATTTAGCTTAGAGATTTCAGCGCTCGCCAGTTGTATACATTCCAGCCCATACAGAAGCTTTGATCTTGTGATTGCATGAAATACTTGGATTTCGGATTTGATTGATGTGTTAGCCTTTGTCCAAAAGATCTTAAGTCGATTGCGCGTCCCTACAGAATGTCCCGTGGGCTACTGTATTAATTTCCGCCTTATTGTCAAAATTGTCAGTGAGTAAAGTGCCTAAGTATGTGGCTGATCTCTGTCTTGGGACGCGTCTTCCTGCAGCTGGTCCATCGCGAGAAAAACGTACTCATGAAACTCTTTGGTTTGCTGTAAGATTCACGCATCTCCTATAATTATTTATAATTCAGCTTCAACCCGTAGTACGCACAATGCCTTTCAATTGCATGCAATTGCTTGTTCATGCACTGCGCGTCAGCTCCAATTATTAGCATGTCGTCTGCAAAGAGGATTTCAGAGAAGTAATGGCTGGATTTGTCTTGGTGCACATAGTTCCATCTTCATGTCTGCGAACTCTGCCCCCATAACTAACACAAACAAGTAATGTGAAAGAGGACATCCCTGCCATATGCCAGAATATTGAAATTTCCATGGTTGCCGAGTTCTAAGGCTTAGGTCATGCTTCAGGGATTCAACTGCTTTCGGAGTCGGGGTTGTAGCAAGCTGCTGGATTTGCGTGTTTTGCTATTGGAAATTGTCTCTGGTCAGTACCGTACGGGCTGTTAGAGTTTTTGATATCTGGTTCAGCTTTAGGGAATGGTTGGGTTCTAGGTATTCAGTTGCACGCCCCGGGCTGAAAGCTTTGCTCAGACTCGCTCGCATGTATTTAGGGCAGCGGAATGAAGCAGAGGCATTTTCAGGGTTGCGAAAGCGAAACATTCCCTGCCCTCTCGCGCGACAGGGAGCAAGGTGGATTTGATGCACCAATCTGGGCCTGGTCCGTGTTGGCAACGGCTCCATCGGAAGTGGTTCTATTTTTCGTTTCACCACTTAATCGAACAATAACAGCAAATCAGAACAACTTCCTTCGACGAGAAAAACAGTTGGCTGTAAAAGGGAAAGGAAAACACAAAGACACAACAATCGGAGCCAGCACATTGGTCTTTGTCAGCAACAACAGGGACAACGTGAAGTAAGACGAATCCAATGGCCAACAGCAAAGAACAATTTTTAAGCCACCAGCCCTAACTTTGACTTGCGTGCAGTAGGTGCGACTCTCAACGAACGCAGAATCGAATGACTTCGACAGTGATACAGCTTGCTCACAGCTTACATAAGCTTGCGGACATTATGACTTCAGGGCTTCTTTGCTCCAGAGTTTCATGATGTTCGGATGTGTCATTTCTTTCACAACACATGCAAGTGTATGGGTGGATGTGGTGCTTGGGGGCACCCCTACACCCTTCGCAAAGCTTTCAACAAAAAGCCCAAAATCCATGAAGACCAACATCGTCCTGGCATTGCCGCATTCGGGGGGTCAAACGTAAGAACGCTTATCCGAGAGAGAGAGAGAGAGAGAGAGCGCGAGTGTCGCAAAGCCAGCAATTGTCTTCTTCGTCGAAAGCAGGGGATGCCAGGGCAAACTTCTTGGTAAATGCCGTGTATGCGGAATCCAGGATCGAAGTCCTATTCAAGACTAAGAGTTTCTCTACCAATTCACTTTCAACCCAAATCTGGTGAACACTTTTTCGGGCTTCTTGGTCTTGTTTTGCATCATGCCACGCCGAAGCCGCAAGGAAGAAAGCCAGAGTATGCAACGCTTCTATTAGGGCGCGACGGCAAGGTCCGAAACATGGAGCAGCACAACCCCCATGCCATGCTAGAAAACACACGGAATGCCATCGCCAAAGCGCCCAACATTCGTGTTCCTGCGTTTGGAACTTCAAAGCAAGCAACAGCACCTCCTCAGGACCCGTTGGAAGGCTGCTTGCTTCACCCATGTGCTCAGATCAAGTCCCCAACAGGAGTTCCTTGCTGGCTGTATTGCACGAGCGCACCCAGCTTCACGTCTCACGATTAAGAAACAGCATTCATCAGCCTTCGGAAGAGGGGGACAGACATTGGAGGCAAGGCCACCCATCAACAAACAGTCGACTTTGCAGGCCAGCAAGATGAAATCCCGGACCCCGGATTATTGCCATGTAGAGATCTTACAGTATGATGTTCCCATTGAAAGGAGTGCAGGTCGGCGTTGCACCTTACCTTCCCCAAAGTCCAAGTGAACCCTCCTCCGTCTGTGTGCTCTCGCCGGGATACAGGGAGACCCTGTGCTACCATCCACTATGTATATAGCGAGAGCAGGAAGAAATCCAAGGAACAACGCAACTCAGTCATGCTGGCAGGCTCCCCAACCTCGCTAAAACCAAGGCTAACCAAAAAACACTGTCATAGTCACAGCACCATTTGCACCATCGAAGCGGGTACTTAGCCGAGTCCTACATGCCACGGTGATTTGCGCGGACTGACACGCCTGCGAAGAATGTGCATATGCAGAGCCCAACTTCTCTCGAAGACAAACGTTTTAGGCCGGAAGTCGAGCTCTCAGAGCAGTATGTAGTAGTCGCTAAATAGGATAAACATTAAGAACCTGCGCGCTCGGGCTTATGCAGAAACAAGCTACAAAAGGCTAAACTATGATCACAGTGTTATACACCGCTTCACGCTGCTGCTATAACATGCTACAAGTAATACTCTGAAATTAAGTCTCCGAGAGCCAATGCCCAACTTCCTGCTGCTGAATCCGAAGTTTGACTTGCTTTGCGAAGGGCAATCCGCTTCGGCGGCCCCAGTCTTCGCAGATCGACTCGTGGTAGAGATCCTGAGGCAAAGGCCCGCCCCAGCATGCTTTGTTTATGCGAGCAAGGAACTGTGAGCTTTCGGGCCATACGGAGCTGCTGCCAGGGTTGCAGGGGTTCAGAGCAGAACGGTTGGTAGAAAAGCATGGAAGATCCCGGCGACAGTAGTAAGACAATGACACAGACACACGAGAGTTCAATCAGTCTGCCGGAAGCGCTGAGCTTCAGCAGTTTCCCTGACTCCCTCTCCGTCTCTCTCTCTCTCTCTCTGTCTCCCCCTCCCTCAATCCTGCTGCCTACAGCCTGAATGATAAGCCATACAGCTGCTGCACATCCGCTAGCACTCGCAAGCCCGTCGTATCCAGGATCCCCCTTTTTGAGACCAACACCCGGGATTTCCTCCGAAATAAAGCGACGCAAGGGACAGCATTCGCGACCACAAAAAGCTCGAGCTTCAGGGCTAGGGCTGTGGTGGGAGCATGATGCACACTGCGTGCAGATGCGGGTCTCGAGGCAAGGGAGCTGCTTTGGCCCAAAATGCCAGCAGCGCAACGGTTTGCACGCTTCCGGGAATCAGTCTGTGCCCTCGTAATTGTTTGAAAGCAAACAGCAGATACTAATCCGAGTCTCGTCGTTGGGCACCGGCACGGTTTCCGGTGTGCGCCCTGCAGGCATTTGTAGGGGTTGCTTGGGGCTCGTGAGCCGGCATACGAATTCCAGAACTAGGTGTAAGGCTTTACAAGGTTGTGGGTTCAACGGGTTGAGGTTCCAAGCCCCACAACGACCGTCTAGGCATCAAGGTCTAATCTCAGATTACGCCCCTGAGGGAGGAGTGCATGACAGGGCTACAGCAAGCATGCTTCAGTGTGGGACTTAGACTTCTGCTTGGGGCAAGCCTAGTTGGGTTTCTCCTTCCTTCAGCAATAACAACAATAAAGTCCGACACGACTATGCTCGCGCGACTACACTCACAAGAGGACACGAACGGCACGACAAGAACAGCTTAAGACTTTCAGGCTTTAAAGACTTTGGGTTAGGATTCTGGCCTTGGTCTGACGGTTTGGGCTCTGCAAATCGAGACACCAGGACAAAGCAGTCCTGTCCTTCGTTGACTCTGCTACTGGTACTTTGGATAAGAACTCGCCCTGAAATGACACATGCGATTTGCCAGCAACCGGCGCGTTTTACAACAGCAGTCGAAGTCGCGGTCGCCATCGAACTCGAAACTTAGCTTACTCAGTCTTTGGGTCGAATGTTTCTGCTCATGGTCTGCCTTCTAAGGACCTCCGGAGCCGTCTCTGCAAGAGCGCGAGGGACCTGCATCGGGAAGCTCTTCAGCATGCGCCGCTGCTACTGATGCAGCTTTTTGCACAGTCACCCCACCCCTGCTCCTACTCTTGCCGTCTGCTGCCACGACGACGACAACGGCAAATATTGCTGCTACCAACATCATAATCATCATCATCATCGTCATCATCATCACTTGCTTCTTCTTCTTCTTCTACCGTCGCCGTCATCACTAAGACTTGTTTTCTGTGCCGGGCACGTTGCTGACGTCGACACCATCATTCCTTCTTCTGATGGCGTCTACAGACACGGTTTCGATGCTTTTCCGAGCTGCGATCCCTTGGCTCTGGACCGTAAACTCATTTCCCGACAGCCTACTACAAGCTGGCAGACTCCATGATGCAACGTCAGAACTTGGACTCATTTGCTCTTGACATCCTCACCACCGAAGAGACTACCAGGTTTCCACTCAGGCTCCCTGATTCGGCAATATGTCGCCATTTACAAGGATTATCCTTATTTCTGCACTTGGAACATCCGCCCAATCAGCTGCAAAGTCCCGCCCCGACAGAGTAGAAAAGCTGGGCTTGGCGTCTCAGGATCGTTTAGGAATATG